CTGCGGAGTAGAAGATGGGTGTCCTTGAGCACAAGCCCTGTGATCCCCAGACAGTGGAGCCGATAACCTAGATGCTCCTAAGTGGCTAACGGGTGGGACATGCAGGACAAAGGTCAGGACGGGATTTCATCACAGTGCTCAGAACAGCGCGAGAGCAAACCTTAGGACTTGTTTATTTCTGGATTTTCCCATTTATTATTTTCGGACACGGTTGACGGCGGGTAACTGAAACCGCGGATGAGCGAGGTGGCTTTGGTGGGTGGAGCAGCCCTGGAGGCCGTGTCACCGCCGGCCTCTCCCAGGCTGGCGGCGCCCTTGCTCGAGTGCCACGTGAGAAGCGGGCCCCTTCCTGCCCACTGGAGTCGGAGCCCGTTTTCCATGGAGGCGCTTGTCTGCCTTGGCTGCCCTTGCCGCCCTACCTGAAGAACAGACCCCCTCCCTGCACTTTTCTGGGGGGAGCGGGGGAGGGCAGAGCCTGGAGGGCGGGGGCGATAGCGAAAGGCCCGGGAGGTCGTTCCCTTCTGTCCATGCGCATGCTCACTTAGCACTAAGTGTCCAACTCATTCCTGAGTCGCTTATCAAGACCAGACCAGTGTGGAAACGTTGAAAGGCCATGGCATTTTGAAAGAACTCCCAGTTGAGAATACTTTCCTACGTTTTATTTACCCGCCAGGCTGGTAGTGATCACTCGTAGTGTACCACAGCACACCTTCATTTGTAGGGAGTGGTGGCTCATCACCAAAACCAGAGGGCAGGCCGAACTCGGAAATAGGTTCCATGACTTCATAAGTTTCATTAAAAGATAGTTTTGGTTTGACTTTAAATTCACCGTGTACAACAGTGACAAAACTGTGACGACGTTGTAATAGTTAACATTTGTAGTCGAGTCCAGGACCTGCAGGCGGGGGTGAGGCTGTGACAGGGGAGCACGGGCTACAGCCTCGCAGTTTGTGTCCCCCGGCCTCGGCCCTCAGTGACGCTCTCCTCTGTGGCACCTCCCCCAGCTCTCTCCCTAGCCGTCCCCGGGCCTTCTGGGCCCAGCTCCCCCCGCTGCGTATCTGGACGCCAGCCAGTTCTCATCTGTTCCTCCTGAGAAGCAGTCATGTCCCTTCACGGCCCGGGGACTGTTCCAGAATGTAGGCTCCTTGGGGTCGCGTCCTGCCCACAGTGTCTCGCACGCAGTGGGTCCTTAACTGAGGGAGCAGCGTGGGGGGCTCCGCGCGCGTGGGCAGCGGGTGCTGGGGAGTGTCCGGTGAAGGCCAGCCACTCGCTGGGATTTGGTCATTAGAGGCATTTTAGTTACCTCGAGATGGTTTACATGGCTAGGTTCAGACTCAGAGAAAAAGCCAACGTCCGTTTCGTACGTTCAGACTCGTCGGTGAGTTCTGTCTGCCTCCGTCAGCTGCTCACAGTGTAATGTGTCTGTGCTCCGCGCACCACCACCCCCGCCACGCCCACCATGAGCGATGACTGCGCTGAGCCGTCTGTGCTGCGCCGGCCTTCGGTTGGTGCTTTGAGGTTTGCAGAGCACGTGTGCGTACCCGCTCCTTGGGTTCTCGGTGTCCGGCTTTGATGCAGGATCAGCCTGGAGATCCAGATGCCCTAGCCTGACCTTGCCTTTCCAGGGCCCGGCTTGGGGATGTGCATGCGTCTCTTCACAGGGTGCCAGGGGCTTGGTCTTACGTCTGGCCCCTAGGCCCTGGGTGGGTGGATGGAGCAGGCGGGCAGTGAGCCTGGCTTGTGTGTTTCTTCCTGCCTCTTCCCCGCTCACAGCTCCAGAGCTGTCACTCTTGGCGAGAAAGGCATCATAACCAGCCTGTATCCTCCAGCTGACAAGGTCTCTCCTTAACACTTAACCCCTCCTTTCTCCTGTTTTCTTCTGAAAGCTTTTTGTTTGAGTCTCTTAGGTTCCCCCAGAACTGCCAGGCTCGGGGCAGAGTGGACCACAAGAGAGCCAGGGCGAAGGGCGTGCGGACACGCTTCTGAACGTGGGGCTTCGGGACCAGCTCTGCTCCACTCCCCTCCTGTCCCTCGTTCTCTTTCCTCGTCAACATCAGCATGATCTTCACTTAGTTCAGAAATAGTTACTGAGCGTCAGGTACACTGCTGGACGATGGGGATCCGGCAGTGAACAGAAGAGACCCCTCCCACCCGTGTCATCATGGAGCCCCTGTTCCCGTTGCGTGGGATGAGCTGAGTCTGGAGTCAGGTGCACGGTGGCCGAGGCAGCCAGGGCTCAGAGGGGCCCGGGGGCGCGGGAGGCCCTGGTCCCCGCTGCCGGCCCCTTCCTCAGGGACGTGGGAGTCCCTGGTCCCTGCTGCCGGTCCCGTCCTCAGGGACACGGGAGTCCCTGGTCCCCGCTCCCGGCCCCTTCCTCAGGGACACGCGAGTCCCTGGTCCCCGCTGCCAGCCCCTTCCTCAGGGACGTGGGAGTCCCTGGTCCCCGCTGCCGGCCCCGTCCTCAGGGGCGCGGGAGTCCCTGGTCCCCGCTGCTGGCCCCTTCCTTAGGGGAGGGGAGACCAGCAGTGGAGAGGGGGCGGTGGTCCAGCAGCCTGGACGGCCAAGCAGGCGGCTGGGGCGCGGGCCAGTGGGGAGTGGGTGCGCCGGGGGGTGGGGGACTGCCGGCCCGGCTGGCAGAGCCGCCCCCATGGAGGTCACCCCCGGGGGCCCTCGTCCTGACACGTAGTTTGTGAGAATAGGAACAGGCCCGTCTGTTCGGTTTGCTCAGAGTAAGGAAACGTGTCGTGGCTCTGATTTTGGGTGGGCTTTTGACTTTTTGCTCTTTTTGGGAAAATGACTAAACTCAGCTTCCTGTCCCCCTGTCTTCAGGTCCTGCTGGCTTCCCAGCTTGGATCCTTTGACTTTCTGTCCCTGCTGGGAGTGTGTAGGCGGGAGGCCCTCCTGGGACGTGCTGTGCTTTCGTAAAAAGCCACGAGGGTGACTGAACCCCAGCGGAGGCGCTCCTGGCCTCCTGGGGAGGGGGCGCTGGGCTTTGAGTGTGGGTGGCCCCTGAGCTCCGCTGCCCTCTGCCCTGCTGGGGCCACACCGGCTGCTGCCCGAGGCTGCTCGTCCCCACGGGGTCCAGGGGGTGGCTGCTCCCTGGCGACCGGGTGGCAGAGCTGCAGAACTGGGCAGGCCCATGCCTGTCTTTCTGACCATGAATGATCTGGTGGTGGGTAAGTTCTGGGGAAGAGAAAATGAATAATAGAGGGAATGTCAGTTTTCTCCAATTTTTTAAAACCTCTCGTGAGCTCATTAGTACAAACAGTTAATACAGGACAGAGTGGTGTTTTACAGAGAGCCATTGTTGTCAGGTCAGCTCTTTGGGGACCTAGAAGCTGGTTCCCGCCTGGAAGGAGGAAGCCAAGGAGATGAGCGTGGCCATCTACGTGGGCTGTGTCTGCGGGGACACATGACCACACCTGGTGGAGTATGTGCAAGTTTGTCCTCTCACAGCCTGGAGGTCATGAGTCCAGCACGGGCCTTGCTGGCTGAAGTTTAGGGGTCACGGGGCTGGTTCCCTCTGGAGAATCCCGGGGAGACAGAGGTGCTGCATCCCTTGGCTGGTGGCCCCTGCTCCATCTTCCAAATCTGCGTGGTGTCCGCGCTTTGTTATGTGGGAAGGTTCTCTGCTTTCTGAGCCGCCTGTGTGACACGGGGCCACCAGATGCTTCAGGACGCCGTTCCCACCTTGATCACCGGCTCAGCCCCATCTGTAAAGTGCCCTTTTTGTCAGGGCACACGGCCCAGGTCCCGGGGCCCGGGATTGGGACATACCCGTCTCTGGGCCGTCACTCTGCCCAGCAGAGCTGGCCGCTACGAGATGTGAAACTGTGTTTGCAGGTGGCTTCCGCAGACACAAAAGGAAAACCAGTTAGGACTTTCTTCTGTCTTTTATTCTGAAAATCGAATTTTCCTGCTTTCTTCCACTGATGGACTCGTTATTAGAGAAATAGAACTTCAGCTCATCAAACACTCGACTGGCGTTGGAGACCGCAGCGTGTTTTCAGCACCCTCGGCTCTGACCCCGTGTGGGAGGCCGGGGGCTGGTCAGGAAGCGCGGCCACGGCTGCCCCGCCCCGGCCACCGGGAGGTGGCCCAGTGGGCGTGTAATCTGAGGGGGTGGGGGTGCAGCCCCGAGGCAAAAGCCCCACAGCTCATGGCAGCTCACTCCCGTGAACGCAGAGCCTCGGAGGCCCCCGCCCACTCGCCATCCTCCCTGTGGGGCGTCGAGGCACCAGTCCGCCTGCCTGCCTGTTGCAGGGCGCGGTGGGCCTGGTGTGGGTGCTCGTGAGTGATGGCGTCACCCAGAGCCCGTCCTGGGGGCCTCGTCTGTCCCTCCCTCCAGGCACAGTCCAAGTGGGGTTCCTGGTGCACAGGACGGGGGTCCGTGATCCGTGATTTGTCTCCCTGGAGGCTAGTCGGATCCTCCCCCGGGATCTGGGCCTCACCCTCCAGCTTGTGTCTCCTCTCCACACACAGAGCCCTTCTCGACTGCCTCTGGAGCCTGGAGCCTTGTGACCCACGTGCACATTTCTGCTTGTTTCTCAGACTCGATTAGTGGCCCACTGTCTGGGGGCCGCTTCTCCCCGGAGTGAATGTGTCTTGCTTGCCCCAGAGTCGAGGCCCTGTGGCCATCTGCCTGTCCTCCTGGCTGCCCTCAGGCTCCCCTTCCCATGAACCTGAGAAAGCGGTGACTCTGGGAAGGTCTCCAGGTGCTTCAGCTCCTGTTCCATCTCAGACTCGCCCTTGGCCACATCCCTGCGTTCAGTTCGCTCTTTGGGTATTCTTTCCTGTAAGGCCTAAAAGCCCCTCTCTGCATCCAGCACTTGGATGTTTGAGGGAGGTGACCTGCAGTTGCAGTGGAGCAGCCTGGTCCTGCCGTGCATGTCCACACGGCGCACCCTTGTCAGCAGGTGCCCCGCCCCGCGGTCCAGGTAGCACGGGGCAGACTCCCCCGGCGCTATCTATGCTGACGCGGTTCTGCTCTGTGTCTGCAGGTGCTGCAGGGGGCCCAGCTGATAGCCGTGGCTTCTTCGGACCCTGCTGCCACGGGGGTGGACGGCTCGCCGCTCCAGGGCAGCGACATCCAGGTCCAGTACGTGCAGCTGGCACCGGTGACCGACCACACCGCTGCAGCCCAGGTGGGTCCTCCCTTTGGGAAGTGGACAGGGCCTGGGCCTCCTGCAGGTAGTGAACGCACTTGGGCCTTCTCCCGCGAGGAAGGTAAGTGATCCATGAGAGGTGCATGGTGTGGACGTAGGCGCTCGCTCGGGTCTCCGTGTCTTGTAAGTGCCTGAAAGTGTAAAGGCGAGAGGTTACTTCTTGGCCCAGATACCAGCCTTAAACAATTTCTTGAGATAACTCTTGTCTCATGCAAATGTTTACCTATAAATTTAGAGGCCAAATTAAGTGTACCTGAGACCTCCTTGTTCCTCGGGCTAGGGCAGGGCCGGCCCAGGGTCTGCGCGCCTGCCGGCCACGGGCAGTCCCTTTGCAGCCCTTGCCTGTGGCCTCTGCCCTTTTCCCCCGTGGCAGCCTCTGGTGGGCCGAGCTCTGCTGCGCTGGGCTGCGGTCTTCTTCCCACGCTGCTCGCGGTTGCGCTCTCCCGGGAGCCCCAGAAAAGCAGCGCTCGGGCTCCATCTGGACAGTTTCTGAGCCGTCAGGTCGGCAGGGGGGCTGCTGCTCGAGATGTTCGAAGCGTTCGCACCTCTGGCCCCAGTGGGTGTGCTTGGTTGGGCGAGCATTGTGGCCTCCCCTGGGTATGGGGGAGCCAGGTTTGGGCCCCCGTGCTCGTGCCTGAGCCTGTTTGGGGGCAGTGTGATCAAGGTCTGTCAGGGTGCAGTCTGGAGAGGGTGCCCTTGGAGCAGCTCAGGCTGCTGGTGCCAGGGTGACACGGGTGCCCTCAAACCTCGGGCTGTGGGCTTGACTCACTGACTCACTGCTGAGCGCCTCTGGGCGGGGGCGCTCTCATCGCTGTGACCTCAGCCTGTTGGCCTCTCCCTGCCTCCTTCCTGGACCGCCTCCTCTGCCCAGCACTGATGAGCTGCGCGTATCCTGCCATTGGCCTTGACTTGACGCTTAGAATTAAAGCCCTGAGTTTCCACGCAGTCCCCCTCCCCTCCTGGCTTCCGCTGGTCGCCGTCTTAGGTGTCGTATCCTGTTCCCACTGGTAGTTGCTGAGGAACACGGCTCAGCAGGGCCAGGCAGGTGGCCCAAGGTGGCCCTGGTGACCAGGTGGCTGGCTGGGTGATCAACGGTCCTGTGGGGACTTAACCCTAGTTCACAACAAGTCCCCACCTGGCCCAGAGATCTGGAACGTGTGTCCTGGAGAAGGTGCAGCCCCCTCCTCTCCCCAGACCTGTCCACTGTGCCATGTGGGCAGCAGCCACGGCCTGGACACTTGTGCTTTTGTGCAGCAGTGATCAGAGAGGCATGTGCTACTCTGGAGATTGACCGAGAGGGCATGAGGCCGACAGAGAGCCCACAGAACTTGGAGTGGGGGGGTGGACGAGCTTATTCATGTGGTGCGAGGGACATCTGTCCTAAAGAAGGACCCTGGGGCTCCGTCCGAGCTGGGCGGGTCTGACAGCCATGTCATTGCTGCTTCACACGCACGGGGGTACTCAGAGTGTGTGCCTTGAATCTGGGGTGCGTGTCATGTGGCAGGTCTTCCTGGGCCAGGTCTGTGGTCTTTGTGCGGATGTCACTGTCGAGGGGAGCCATGTCCACTGAGCTCCTGGCGCCTGACTTCCCGCCAGTGGGACCACGTAGCACACAGAGCAGTAGATCAGAGGGGGACATGTGCACTTTCTGGGGTGTCTTCCCCGCAGAAGGGCTCGGTCCCTGGGGCCCAGGCCCCTCCCTGGGCCCCCGCCCGCCTCACGCGCAGGGAGGGGTCTCCCAATGGTCTCTTCATTAGCAGGAGGCCTCCCGCCCTCCTGTGGGTTTCCTTCCAGAGTTTGCTGCTCGGAACGGGGTCATACTCCTCATCTGGTGCTTGGGGAAGGATGGGTCTGGCTCCCGAGGTCCCCGAGCCCCCCGAGCCCCAGAGGCTGCGTGAGGGGTGGGCCCGTTCCCCAGAGCAGCCGCGGGCAGGGGAGAGGGCACCCCGTCTGTGCTGGCGCCGCTCCGCTGTGCTGTGCTTTGCTGGAGCCCCAGTCTCCTGCCGCGTTTTGAGGACGAGGGGGGAGGGCAGGGCTCCCCACCAGAGTGTGGGCCTCCCGAGTGCCCAGCCCAGCTCGTCTCGTGGCCTCGGGAAGGCGCGGAGGAGGCCTGTGCTGAGTCCTCAGATGGGTGGGGAACCGCCCCTAACCCCCCACCCCCGCTACGAAAATGCCGTGTTGCCTTCCCCTTGAGCTGCAGTCGTAGGCGGAGCGCTGGCCCCGCAGGACTCTGCCTCCACCGTGTGGCTTTCTCCACCTCCTCCTCCGTGCACCACCACACCCCACCCCACCCCCGGGCCCCTCCAGCTACAGGTCCTCAGCGGAGCCGCGGAGCCCACCTCTGAGAGCCTGGTGTTGCCTTTGACCAGCGGCTTCGGGGAGTCTGAAAAACCCCCAAGTGATCTCCATCTGGGAGCCCATTCTTGGTGGCTGAGATGGAGGGTCAATGACTTATTCCAAGACGGTGTTTTTTTCCTTTAAACTACCTTAAAACTGTGAATATGCTGATCGCTTGGAGTGCACGGCCAGCGGGAATGGGAACGCAGCGCTGGTGGCTGGAGCTGAGGGGCACATGTGGGAGGCGGTGGGTAGGTGTGGGGGGAGCAGGGGCCTAGACAGGGCCCCACAGAGACGGACCGTGGCCCTGGATCTGTCACAGCTGCCGGGAGCATCCTCTCCCAGAGCAGGGGCGACACTCAGGCCCCCAGCCTCACCCTCCAGCTCGGGTGTGTGTTTACTCTGTGCCTGAAAACCGCTGGTGTCCATGACCAGGGAGTGGCCCGATGCGCATACTGGGCCCTTTGATAGAAAGCGCCCTCTCCCCTCTTGCAGGCGGCCGACGCCCTGCAGCCCACCCTGCAGTCCGAGATGCAGCTGGAGCATGGGGCCATCCAGATCCAGTGAGGGGACGGCCGCCGACCAGACAGGGCCCGAGCCAGAGCCACCGCTCAGCGCTGGTTCCGGTCACCCGCACCGTTCACACGCACCCGTCCCTCGGCTTCGCACGGGAGGGGGCCCGCACACGTTCTGCTCAAGTGCATCCGAGTGCCTCATCCTCGGGGAGAGCGCCCCGGTAAATAAAGACGAAGGTAGCCCCTGCCGCCCCCGCCTGAAGACCCTGTTTCTTTTGATCACCCCGCCGTGTCCGGGGAAGGAGCAGGAAGCACAGCGTGGTCGCGTTAAGTACACGCGGGAAATCAAGAACTACGATATTTTTCTCTGTTCAAACAGCTTTTTTAATTTGCTATGGTGTTTATAACAAAAAACAAAATTGAAAAAAAAGTGGAGTAGCAGAAGCCTTTTGCTGTGTGCTCTGTTCAGTGTAATGAGAATAGGTATTTGCAAAAGAAGACTAACGATTTTGATGGAAACGTTGCTTACCTACTTTTCTAGGGGGATGCTGTCAGCACTGTGATCGTGCATTTCTAATGGAATAAAATGTATTTATGACCACGGCGGCTGTCACGTTGTTTCCTCTTAGGAGATGGCCCCTGGGCCTGTGGCGGCCCTGATGTAGCTGTGTGGGCCCTTCCAGAGGAAGGGGCGTGGCTGTCCTGGCAGTCCTGTGATGGAGCCTGGGGTGCAGGGGGCTGCACGATGGAGTGTCTCCAGGCACGGTGTCCCTCGAGGCAGCGTGAGCCTTCAGAATTGGGGTGCTCCCACGAGTAAGCTGTGCTGTTGAATGGCATGGCCTCTTCCAGCCCCAGAAAGTCCCAGCTCTGGGGGGTCTTTAGAGAAAGTCGTGTCTGAAGGAGCATGCCATATTGATGGTCTAATTAACGTGTGTCTGGAATCCCAGAAGGAGAGAATAGAAGGAAGATGACACGTAAAGGATTGGGGAAGCAGAACAGATCTCACGTAGAAATACAGAGGAAGCCGTGCCTGGACACACGCAGAACGTCGAAGACGAGCATAACCCAGAAGCAGCCAGAGAGGAAGGACGGACCACCCTCATGAGGGGAGGGCACATCAGAAGCAGAGGCGTGATGGGAAAAACGCTCTGCACGGAGTCGGGTCTTTAGTAGAACAGCTGTTCAAGAACGCCGGTGACAGTTGGCATCTGGCCCAGAGCTCTGCTCTGAGGTGTACACCCAGGAGAATTGAAACCGTATGTCCACACGTAAATGTGCACACGAACATTCATAGCGGCACTTTTCACGATAGCCGGAGACTGGGAACAGCCTACAAAATGGGGTCCACCGACCCAGCAGCCTTGTAGCTCAGCCGTAAAAGGAAGGAAGCACTGACACAGGTTTCAAGGTCGATGAACCTTGAACACGTGCTGAGTGAGAGAAGCCAGGCCCAATAGCCCGCATACTATGTGGTTCTGTTTATGTGAAACGTCCGGAATGGGCGAGTCCGTGGACACAGCAGATGAGCAGTGGCCTGGGCTGGGGGAGGGGAGGTAGGGAGTGACTAATACGGCAAATACGGATTCTTCTGGAGAGGACGAAGATGTTCTGGAATTAGTGGTGCTGTTGGCCCAACTCTGTAGGTCCACTAGAAGTCACACTAGAAGGGGTGAAGTTTTGGGGATATAAATTATATCTCAAGGTTATTAAAAATAAAGAATTGGGCAACATTTAAAAAAACAGGAACAAAAATGAGGGTGTCACCTGCAGACGATTCCATCCTATAAAGGAAGTTGTAAGACATTTTCTTCAAGAGCAGGAATATGGACCCAGGAGGAGATTCTGAGAGCAGAAGGTTGGGGGGCGGGGGAGCAAATACAACAACGAGGAGGTGTATCTAGTACTCCGTGTAAACTGCCTCACAATAAAATGTTGGAAAACATTGCTCTGAAGGTTGGGGCAGGCAGGAAAGGAGCTAAGTCGTTGTAAAGCCCCCTTTCCTTGCCCTGGAGAGAAAGGATCAAGATGCTGTACAATTGTAAGGCATCAAAGTCAATATTTATGGGCTTCCCTGGTGGCGCAGTGGTTGAGAGACTGCCTGCCGCAGGGGACAAAGGTTCGTGCCCCGGTCTGGGAAGATCCCACATGCCACGGAGCGGCTGGGCCCGTGAGCCATGGCCGCTGAGCCTGCGCGTCCGGAGCCTGTGCTCTGCAACGGGAGAGGCCATAACAGTGAGAGGCCCGTGTACAACAAAAAAAAAAAAAAAAAAAAAAGAAACACAGCACAGAAAAAAAAGTCAGTAAGGTGTGGGATGTCCAAACGGCGTGATTAGTGCACTTGACCTAATCGACGTGTAGAACACGGCATACGGCGGTCATGGGGCACGCTTTCTGTTCTTCCCACCTGCTCTTTTGAACTTTATTCAAGTCACCCACACACCAGACCAGGAAGAAGGTCAAATTAGAGATCAGAGTGGAAAAGTATTTCTAATTGACAAATACGACAGGTCAACATATCAAAACTCATGGAATACATCGAAAGGTGTGCTTAGAGAAAAATTTATATGTCCTTCAGATATATTCCCAGAAGTGGAATTGCTGGATCATATGGTAGCTCTATTTTTAATTTTTTTGAGGACCCTCCATACTGTTTCCCATCACGGCTGTGCCAATTTACATTCCCACCAACGGTGCACAAAGATTCCCTTTTCTCCACATCCTTGCCAGCACTTATTATTTTCTGTCTTTTTCATAATAGCTGTTCTGATAGGTGTGAAGGGATAGCTCATTGTGGTTTTGATTTGCATTTCCCTAATAATTAGCGATGTTGAGCCTCTTTTTATGTGCCTGTTGGCCATATGTGTGTCTTCCTCAGAAAAGTATCTATTCCAGTCCTTTGCCCATTTTCCAATTGACTTATTTCTTTTTTTGCTGTTATGTGAATTCCTTATATATTTTGTATATTAGCCCCTTATCAGATGGACGGTCTGCAGATATTTTCTCCCTTCTGTAGGTTGCATTTTTACTTTGTTGATTATTTCTTTTGCTGTGCAGAAGTGTTTTAGTTAGATGTAGCCTCACTTGTTTATTTTTGCTTTTGTTGCTTGTGCTTTAGGTGTCATATCCAAAAAACTGTTGCCAAGACCAATGTCAAGGAGCTTTTTCTCTGTTTTCTTTTACGAGTTTTATGGTTTCAGGTCTCACATTTAAGTGTTAAATCCCTTTTGAGTTAATTTTTGTGAGTTGTGTAAGATAGGGGTCCAATTTCGTTCTTTTGCATGTTATTATCCAGTTTTCCCAACACCATGTATTGAGGACACTGTTCTTTCCCCATTGAATATTCTTGGTTCCCTTGTTAAATACAAGTTGACCGTATATGTGTGGGTTGATTTCTGGGATGTTGATTTTCTTTCATTGGTCTGTGTCTGTTTTTATGGCAGTACCATACTGTTCTGATTACTATAGCTTTGTGATATAGTTTGAAATCAGGAAGCATGATACCTCCAGCTTTGTTCTTCTTCCTCAAGTATGCTTTGGCTATTCGGGTCTTTCGTGGTTCCATAAGAATTTCAGGATTGTTTTTTCTATTTCTGTGAAAAATGCCATTGGAATTTTGATAGGGATTGCATTGAATCTGTAGACGGCTTTGTGTAGTATACACATTTTAACCATATTACTTTTTCCAATCCATGTACACAGGATATTTTTTCCAATTGTTTGTGTCTTGAGTTTCCTTCATCAATGTCTTATAATTTTTCAATGTACAGAACTTTCACTTACTTAGTTAAATTTATTCCTAAATAAGTTATTGTTTTTGATGCTATTGTAATTGAGATTGTTTTATTTGTTTCTCTTTCATATAGTTCATTGTTAGTGTACAGAAACAGAAACAACTGATTTTTGTATGTTAATTTTGTATCCTGTAACTGTACTGAATTTGTTTATTAGTTTTAACAGTTTTTGGTGGCGCCTTGAGGATTTTCTATATATAAGATCATATTATCTGCAGGCAGAGACTAACTTATTCCTTTCTGACTTGGATGTCTTTTTTTTTTTTCCCCCTAGCCTAATTGTTCTGACTGGAACCTCCAATACTAGATCGAGGAGAAATGGTGAGAGTGGGCACCCTTGTCTTGTCCTGTTCCTAATCTTAGAGGAAACACTTTCAACTTTACACCATTGAGTATGATGTTAGCTATGGGTTTGTCATATATGGCTTTTATTATGTTGAAGTATGTTCCTTTTATAACTATTTGTTGAGAGTTTTTATTGTGAAAGGATATTCTAGTTTTCAAATGCTTTTTCTGCATCTATTGAGATGGTATGATTTTTATCTGTATTCTCTTAATATGGTGTATTACATTTATAGGTTTGTGTATGTTGAACCATCCTTGCATCCCAGGGATCACTGTCATGGTGTATGGCCCTTTTCATGTGCTAGTGAATTTGGTTTGCTAGAATTTTGTTGAGAATTTTGCATCCATATTCATCAGGGATATTGGTCTGTAGCTCTCTCTCCTTGCGGTATCTTTGGCTTTGGTATCAGGGTAATGCTGGCCTTGCAGACGAGTTTGGGAATATCCCTTCTTCAGGTTTTTGGGAGCATTTGAGAAGGATTGACATTAATTTTTCTTTACAGGTTTGGTAGAATTCACCAGTGAAGCCATCTGGTCCTGGGCTTTTCTGTGTTGGAAAGTTTTGATTACTGACTCAATCTCTTTACTTGTATTGGTCTGTTCAGGTTTTCTATTTCTTCATGATTTAGCCTTGGTAGGTTGTATGTTTCTAGGAATTTATCCATTTCTTCTAGGTTATCCAGTTTGTTGGTGTGTAATTGTTCATAGTAGTCTTTTACAATCCCTTGTATTTCTGTGGTGCCAGTTGGATGTCTCCTCATATTTCTGATTTTATTTATTTGAACCTTCTTTTTTTTTCTTAGCTGGTCTAGCAAATGTTTGTCAATTTTATCTTTTTAAAATATCAGCACCGGGCTTCCCTGGTGGTGCAGTGGTTAAGAACCCGCCTGCTAATGCAGGGGACACGGGTTCAAGCCCTGGCCCGGGAAGGTCCCACATGCCGCGGAGCAGCTAAGCCCGTGCGCCACAACTACTGAGCCTGCGCTCTACAGCCCGCGAGCCACAACTACTGAGGCCTGCACGCCTAGAGCCCGTGCTCCGCAACAAGAGAAGGCAGTGCAATGAGAAGCCTGCGCACCGCCAACGAAGAGTAGCCCCCGCTCGCTGCAACTAGAGAAAGCCTGTGTGCAGCAACAAAGACCCAATGCAGCCACAAACAAACAAACAAACAAATAAATAAATTTATTTAAAAAAGTATATCAGCACCGTGAGCACTGTATACATTTACAATTGTTATATCCTTTTGATAAATGGATGAATTGACCCTTTTATCGTTATTTAATGACCTTGTCTCTTGTTACAGTTTTGACTCAAAGTCAAAACTTTTTAAAAATGTAAGTATAGTTACCCCTGCTGTCTTTTGTTCCCTGTTTGTGTGTAATATCGTTTCCATCCCTTCACTTTGAGCCTGTGTGTGTCCTCAAAGCTGAAGTGAGTCTCTTTTTAGACAACACACATTTGAGGCTTGTTTTTTTATTGTTCAGCCACTCTGTGACTTTTGATTGGAGAATTAATCCATTTGCATTTAGAGTTATTATTGATAAATGAAGAATTACTAATGCCATCTTATTGTTTTCTTAATGTTTTGTAGTTCCCTTGTTCCTTTCTTGCTGTCTTCCTTTGTGAATTGATGATTTCTATACTGTGTGCTTTGATTCCGTTTTCTTCATCTTTTGTGTATCCCCTGTAGGTTTAACAACAGTCCTTTTAAAGCTGACACCAACTTTGACCATATACAAAAACTCTACCTTTTAACCCTCCCATTTTATCTTTTTTTTCTTTTTTTAAAAAATACCTTTATTGGGGTCTAATTGCTTTACGATGGTGTGTTAGTTTCTGCTTTATAACGCAGTGACCATTTTATCTTTTTGGAGTCACAATTTACACCTTTTTACCTTGTGTACCCATTGACAAGTTAATTGCAGCTATAGGTCATTTTTAATACTTTGGCCCTTTAACTTTTATACTAGAGTTCAGTGATTAGCATACCCCCACACTGCAGCGTTAGAGTATTCTGAGTTTGACTGTATACTTGCCTTTGCTGGCGTGTTATATATTTTCTTGTGCTTTTATGCTACTGATGAGCATCCTTTCATTTCAGCATGAAGAACTCTTTACAGCATTTCTTGTAAGGCAGGTCCAGTGGTGAGGAGCTCCCTCAGCTTTTATTTCTTCAGAAGAGACTTTTATCTCCCCTTCATTTCGGAAGGACGGCTGTGCTGGGTGTTCTTTGTTGGCAGCATTTCTAATATATCATCCCACTGGCCTGCATAGCTTCTGCCGAGAAACCCACTAATAGCCTCACGGGGCTTCCCTTGTACGTGAGGAATTTTTTTTTCTCTTGCTGCTTGTAAAACTCTCCCCTTGGCTTTCATTTTACACAGTTCTATTGTACTGTGTCCTGGAGAAGATAGTTTGGGGTTGAAATTTTAGGGCGATCTCTGAGCTTTAGGAACGTGGAGGTCTGAATCTCCCCTCCAGCTTTGGGAAGTTCCGCCATTATTTCTCTCCTTCTGGGATTCCAGTATTGTACCCACTGTTTCTTTTAACCGTGTCCTATAGTTCACACCTGTTTTCTTCACTCTTTTTCATTCTTTTTTTCTTTCTGCGCCTCTGGCTGGATGGTTTCAAGTGGGCTGCCTTCTGGTTCACAGATCCTTTGTGCTGTTGGACCGCTCTATCAGATTCTTCGTTTCAGTCACTGTATTCTTAAACTTTAGGGTTTCTGGGGGTGGAGGGCTGGTGTGTGTTTGTTTTCTGTTTCTTTGTTGAACTTCTCATTTTGTTCACGCATTGTTTTACTAATTCCATTTAGTTGTCTATCTGTGTTTTCTTGTAGCTCACTAAACTTCTTTAAGAGGATTTTTCTGAATTCTCTGTCAGACATTTCATAGATCTCCATTTTTTGGTGTTGTAGTTTCATTAGTTCCCTTTCTTTTTTATAAAGATTTTTTTTTTTTTGGATGTATTAGTACC